ACTTGGTCGCATCCAAACCACATCAGACACGCGGCTACAGCCGTCCGGCCGCCTTTGGGGATGGCAAGTCAAAACCAGATGGATCTTCTTTGCCTTCACTGGTCACAGATTGATGATTGCTGACTAAACGCGATTGAAGGGGTTTGTGCAAAACCACGATTCGCTGGCTAAATGAAAACAAATGTTGAGGTATATGAGAGATGTACAGCAGGGCGGTTGAAATTTTAGATTTTGCTCTCCACAGTTCCTTTTGTTGCAATTTCATTATAATCTCTGAAATTGATATGGGAAATATAATAGGATTGTTTTTTCACTCATTCTAGCCGTTTGCTATACTTACAGTGCTTTATTTGAACTACAACTACCTATCCGACCCATCAACTAATGGAAAACGGCTTTAATTCCCGTGATCAGAGATTTTATGCCTAAGAAAATCCCGGATTGCGATTGAAACCCAGGCCCTTTGGAGTGAGAGACAATATCGTTTACCACTACACCACTGGTGGTGCTAAGTTTTCAACTGTTTATTGTTAATTGTTGTTTTAAATCAACAGGCTGGATGTAGCCCCAATGATGTTAACCTTATCAACTATGGTAAAAAAAACATTCAAACATGGTCATAACATAAAAAAAACTACAAGAGACAGCCCTATGGGGATGTACGCATTGATGACGTAGGACTGCGTGGTCTTATGTAATAAATTTATTTGTTAACTGCAGCAGGACCTTGTGTTTTGTGTAGGAGTAGGAATTTGAACAGGGTTCTCTCTGTTTATACTCTTTAATATAACGCGCTTGACATGGCCCACAGCAACTCACGAAGAGCTACTGATTCCGATCTATAGCGGTGTGGCTTCTTCCTCCATCGGTGATAATTTTAATTTTCATAGCAACAGTTGCACATTCGTGCATATTTCAATAGTGACATTTTGAAAAATGATAAAGTCTTAAATTAAACATATGCGTAGGAATATATCTGATCGATTGGCGATACAACTATTGAAATTGGGCCAGAGGCAACTGAGTAATTAACGTTCAAAGTCTTTCATAATTTTGTTACATTTTCCATTTTCGGGTTTCACAAAGTGTATCCCCATATAGAAATCACAGACGTAGTCCTACGTCAAAAAACATTAAAAACATATATCTTATAGTCAGTTACTCCTGCTGGCGAAAAGCAGAAGAAAACTTTCGACAAAGCGCATCACGGGAGAGATGAAAGTCGAAAACAGATGCAACTCTGTTGAATGTTCTCTGCAGTCCGCAAATCGCACCGTATGCTCCATAAGTTGTGCGACGTAGAGGCAGTCTTAGCATAAGGTTATTACGAAGCGGTCGGGGTTGAACGTTCAGGTCAATTTGTCTCAGGATAGCCTCGCACTCTGTCCTTCCTTGCAGGATATCGACCACGGTTAGGGCTCTGCTTGTGTCTCTTCTAGTCCGGAGAAGTTCTAGGTCGATAAGTTGACAACGGCTTTCGTAACTGGGTAATCGAAACGGATCATTCCAAGGCAATCTACGCAACGCAAAACGAAGAAAGCGACGTTGAACAGATTCAATTCTGTCGACACCGTGGTTGTAGTTTGGGTTCCAAACCGCTGAACAATACTCAAGCGTCGATCGAACAAGCGAGCAATAGAGAGATTTCAGACAGTAGATATCAGTGGAGTTTTTAGCTATCCTGAAAATGAACCCTGAATGAAAGTTCTTGACGCCTTATCGACAACACATGCAAAGTGCTGCTTGAATGCAAGCTGCGAATCCAAGATCACACCCAAGTCTTTCACCTGATTCACGCGTTCGATTGTCGAGCCAAGCAGGTCATAGCTAGTCGTGAGAACGTAATAGCGGAGCATTTGGCTGGGTTCACTACCATTCTGTTTAACCTGCACCAACTAGCGAATACATTTAGCTGACGTTGAAGAAAGTGATTCGTAGGAAGATTTTGAAGTCATCTGCATATGACAACCGAGGAGCTTCGATGACCAGATGCACGTCGTTGAAGTACAGTATAAAAATTAACGGTCCCATGTGGCTTCCCTGAGATATACCTGATGTGGCGAAGAAGCTAGCTGATCTGCAATCTCCTATGGAAACCTTTAGTAGCCGACCGGTAAGATATGATCGAAACCAACTCAGAAGATTACCGCATACACCGAGCCTGCCGAGTTTAGCAATCGCAATAGCATGGTTCAGCTTGTCGAATGCTGCGGATAGGTCTGAATAGGTCCGTTTGAACCCGATCCGACATGCTTTCGGTTACATACGATGTAAGACACAGCAGATTGGTGGTTGTAGAGCGGCCAACAGTAAACCCATGTTGATCAGCACTCAAATACTGCTTGCAATGGGACAGCAACGGTTCCATAATCACTAGCTTGAATAGCTTCGAAACGCCACTTAACGATGTAATTTCTCGATAATTATCCACAGCTCGTTTCCTTCCGTTTTTGTGGACGGAAAACCTGTGCGCAAATTTCCAGCAAGAAGCGGAATTAACAAGCTAGCAATATGTCTCTTCAAAAATACAAATGGAACTCCATCATGTCCAGGATTTAAGGATGACTTGAGCAGAGTCGCGGCCTTAGAAATCATCTCAGCATTAACATCAATTGCACCCAGCTTTTGATCATTTACTGGAACGTTCCTGGCAGCCAGGTTAGTATGGTCGTCAGTTAGTATCTCATTAGTGAATACACTGGTAAACTTTTCGAAAAAAGGTGGCATATATCCTGAACGGTGGCAGCAACTTCTCCGTGGAATTCCATAGACGATGGGAGCCTGGATTTCCTGCGTTGCTCGTTCACGTAGTTCCAAAAGGATTTCGGGTGTAGCTTAAGTTTGCGTTGGATGCTTCGTTGGAAATTTGAAAAGCATTCACGACTGACTAGCTGGTACATGTGATTCAGCTTTACGTAATGTAGTTTCAGAGGAAGCGTGCGATACTTCGTGAATCTTCTCAATGCTCTTGATTGACTCCAACCTACGTAGCTCTCTCGTCTGCCAGGGAGGGTGAGACACTTTGAGGTGAGTTCTTTTCAGGACGTGTCTGTCTATGACATATGCCAAAAGGTTTGCGCTGCAGCCTCAACGTCATCTGGATCAAATATGTTCTCCCATACCATGCTAGACAATACATCTATGATGCTACGGTGGTCAGCTTTACGGAAGTCATAAGAAACCGTAGCAGGATATTTAGTCGTCAAAACCACGCATGAGTTTGTCCTCAACAGTGACAATTAAAGGAGGGTGATGTGGAACTAGCTTAGTTAGTGCACAAGGAGCCGAGGAAATTAATGGAGCCCTGTCCTGTGTGCTCACGAAGCAGAGGTCAGAACTACGATCATTTTCGTTAACTGCATGGTTAATTTGAGAAAGCATCGCTGCGCTGTAGTTGCCGAGAAGGCTAATAGCTCTTGCGTGAAATGTAGATCTATCAGGGTACATGAATCCGCTATGAGATGGACTCCACGAAACGCCTGGCAGATTGAAGTCACCAAAAATGAATATCTCATCAACTGGAGTGGCACTTTCGATAACTGTGAAAACTGACCGACAGTGAGTATCGATGAGTTCATTGTCCCGGACTTGATCAGGTGGAATGTACAGAGCGCATGGAAATAGTGTGCGATCACCCAGATTGATGGCTATCCAAACTTGCTCCACATAGTTCCATGAATCGTTCTCGATGGCCTTTGCCTCCAACTCGCCACGGACAGCTACAAGGACACCTCCACCAGTAGATTTACGGCTGTTGTTAGGATTCCGATCGCAACGAAAGACCTCGTAGTTAGGACCGAAGACTTGACTGGAAAGCGTTCGATAATCGAGCCACGTTTCACACTGGGCAATTACATCGTAGCAACAATCCGATACAGCTAGGCGGTACTCTTCAAAATCAGAATTCATTCCATCGGCGTTTTGGTAGAAGATCCCGACGTCCTGCTAGCGGCAAGGAATCGAACGACTGCTCTCCCTGGAAATCATGGAAATTACAGATACATCAGGCAATAACTGACCATCATCAAGTCTCATTGGATACCCGCCATTGTGAGTGGGTTGGAAGACCTCCTCTCCACATCCGACAGCAGGTCCGGAAAGACTATGATGAACGAAGACTGCTGATGGCAGAACTGAGACGGAGAGATTGGGGGCTTCCATGGGGCTTTCTACGGCGCGTTCCGGGTTCCCAGGATTGGGAGTTACAGAGGCATCATCACAATGACTAACATAGTCCGAATTGCTGAAATTTTGATCGGCATCAGGCAGTGAATAGTCAATATATATTGATTGTACTTGCTTTTAGAGGCAAGGTGGAAGACTCCTGATTCATATCCAGCCACATACTTCATAATCTTGTATTTTTAGTAAGCTTTTTAATAACATACTAGCTGAGTTTTCCAGCCTTGCTCGGGTTCCAATATTAGCTTACGTTTATGAAGACGATTAAAAAAAACATGCTATTTTGTACGTAGCCACCCACACCTCTTATCTTAGGGGCTACCCCCTATGAACATCTTCTTAAAGCAAGGAATACGTATGCCAAGTTTGGTGGAAAACGGTCCAGGCGTTCCAGAGTTATTGTGGAACACACATACTCACAAACATTGACTTGAGGGGAGGGGTCTCGAATTCTTGCCTTCATAATCCTCCACATGTCAAATTTATGGGAATATGCCGTAGGTCGGACCGAAGAATGAAATGAACTTGAATGAAAATTTTATTGAAACCAATTAAACACGTTCTTAGCAACTAATGCATGGCTTGCTGGAATCTTCAGTCGCTTTATCTTCAACACTCCTCCTCGACGGTTGTACTCCAGCTGTCTCTCGGAATCTCTTCAATTTCCGGTTAGCTAATAGTTTCGTCAACATATCAGCCACCATGCTATCGGTTGGGCAATATTGCACCGAGATCTTGCCCTCCTCCTTCATCTGGCGGACGAAATGATATTTCGTGTCGATGTGCTTTGATCGGTTGTTGATTTTTCCTGATTCCAATTACTTGATGCACGACTGGTTGTCCTCGTGAACTTGGATCGGTTTCGTCATGACAACGGAGAAATCTTGCAACAGCCGGTCAATCCATTGTAACTTTTTGCAACACTCAGCGAGTGCCACAAACTCAGCTTCTGGGCTGCTCAAAGCAACACATGTCTGCTTCCGGGATTCCCAGTGGATTGGACCACCACCAAACATTACCAGAAATCCAGAATTCCGGGTCTTCACATCACTGGCCCAGTCAGCGTCGACGTAAACCTCCATGACAGCTCCTCCTGATGCAAGTACAAGTTCGTGGTCGTTGGTGAACTTGAGGTATCGAAGAATCCGTTTCGCTTCCGTCCAATCCGCTTGTAATGGGCAGCTCACCGATCTTCCAAGAATCGATACGCTGACCGCGATGTCCGGTCGAGTGTTTACTGCCACGTACAACAAACCACGAACCACACTTGAGTACTGGTGATTGTTCGGCAGTCGCTCGTACTCCTCCTTTTGTTGCAGGTGGCCAGGGTCCAAAGGAATCTTCGATGACATTGCGTCAGTCAACCCACAACGCTCCAACAACTTCTAGATGTAAGCCCGCTGGTTGAGAGAAAACCCCTTCTCGTTGCGTCGCACTTGGATGCCCAGGAAATGGCGGATGTCTCCCAACGATGTTACCGTAAAGCTACGGTTAAGGGCTGCGATGAACTCGTTGTACTCCTCTTCGGTGTGGCAAGCGATGACCATATCGTCCACGTAGATGACTATTTAAATACGTGAATTGCTTGCCTCGACGTCGCACGTACAAACATGGATCATTTGCTGACTGTGTGAAACTAAGATGTTTTATTACATCGTACAGTTTCTTGTTCCAAACATGTTCCGCTTGTTTGAGGCCGTACAAGCTTTTCTGCAACAGACATACCGCATCCATTCCACCAGCTTCGTAGCCTGGCGGTTGCCGCATGAAAATCGTTTCGTCCAGATCGCCGTGGAGATAGGCGGTCTTCACGTTCCGTTCACTGGCAATCGTCAGCATTGTCCTAAATGTTACCTGCCACACCACCGGGACGAACACTTCGTCGAAGTCCATTCCATACTTCTGGGAAAATCCTTGCGCAACCAGACGCGCCTTGTACCGCACAACGTTGCCGTCCTCATCGAGTTCGCGCTTGAATATCCATTTACTGCTTTGCGGTCTGCGGGCAGTTTTACTAGCTTCCAGGTACCATGTTCCTTCAACGATTTGATCTCTTCATCCATCACCGTACGCCACTGTTCCGCCTCTGGCTCGTTCATTGCCTCAGCGAATGTTCTTGGTTTCGCCACAAGCCTGCGTGCCAATCCAGTGGTTTCTGAATAACGAACCGGTATCTGTCCGCTCGTATTTCTAGTCGAACGCCGAAGTGACGTTTCCACAGCTGCAGTATCCCTTTCGTATTCGTTGCCCTCATGGATGCCGTAGCATGTTGAGTCATAGGACGAAGTATCTGACTCACATTCCTCCTGAACCGACTCGTCATCATCGGATTCTTCTTCCTCTTCGGGAGTTTCCTGCGATACTTCAGACTCGTATTCCACAATACTCAGTCACGTAGAACTCTCGTTTTCGATATCATCCTCCATTTCAACGAATCGAACGACCTTCTTCGTTGCTTTATCGATGAACCGGAACGCCTAGTGACATTCGAAATAACCGACGAATGTTAACTTCTCCGCCTTCGGAGCCAGTTTGCTTCGCTTCTCAGCAGGAACGTGAACGAACGCAGTGCAACCAAAAATATGCAATCGTCCGTAATCCGGTCTCTTCCCAAGCCAATGCTCGAAAGATATTTTCCCGATGGACCGTGATGGAAGTACATTCTGCAGGTGCAGGGCCGTGTTGACCGCTTCCGCCCAGAACTGGTAGCCCATCTTTGCGTCGATCAGCATGCACCTAGCCATTTCGACAATCGACTGGGTTTTGCTCTCCGCGACTCCGTTTTGCTCCGATGCATATCCCGCTGTATATTGGGGCGCTATTCAATTCTCGCTGTAGAATCGTCCCAAACGCTTCGATTTATATTCGCCTCCCTGGTCCGAACGAATAACCGTTGGATTTCTTCCGAATTGATTGTTCACCATTATTTTCGCAGCTTTCGACTTTCTCTTGAGGAAATACACAATGGTTTATCGACTGAACTCGTCGATCATCATATGGAAATATCGTGCACCGCCAGGCGATAACGTGTTCATTGGACCGCAGATATCCGTGTGCACTATATCCAGGATCCTTGCTGATTGTCGATCGAGTTTTCTAGGGAACGGTAGTCGAGTTAGCTTACCTTCGACACACCACTCACATGTCTTGAACACTTCACACTTGTGGATGGTCACGCCCGTCGCCAAATTCTCACGCACAGCACGCTGAATTGCTTCGGGATCACGATGACCTAACTTCCGATGCCAATGGTGGATGCAGTCCTTTTTGTGGTGTGACGCATTCATACCGCGCTCCTCCGCAAACTTCAACTGGTACAGCCCACCAATTTTCTTCGCTACGGCTGCTACGACTCCGTTACGTTGGATCTGTCAATCACGGCAACCAGAGAAAACAACCTCTGCTCCCTTGGCAACCAGTCTTCCAACAGAAAAAAGGTTCGATTCCAAATTTGAAACGTAGTACACATCGGACAGGATAACTTCTTGCTGTTCTCCTTCCTCGTTTTGGCAAAACAAGCGGCCAGATCCGATGTCTTTCACCAGCGTCTCGTTTCCATCGGCCAGCGTGATGGAAATCCCCGAGCTTGGCTTTAGCTCATCGAAAAACGAACGGTTGCAGCACATGTGGGACGTTGCTCCAGAATCGACGATCCACACCTTCAATTTATTTTCGGTCGTAGTAGCCATAAACTCAAAAGGTCTCGCCTTGCCAATCTTCGCTTTTGAACCTTGACTTTTCTTAGGCTTCGAATTGCTGCTTGCTCTTGCGTCACCAGCTCTTGCCCCTGGGCATTCTCGCTTCATGTGTCCGGGTTTATGACAGTTGTGGCACACAACCTTCTGTGCTTCATCCAGCAATTTATGTTTCACCAGTTCCATGGTGAGCTCCTCGTCGGAACGGCTTTCCAACGCAGTGAGGGTATCGAAAGAGTCAGGCATACTCTTCAATATCATCGCCACTTTCAGGTTGGAATCGAGATCCTGGCCCGCGTTTGCGAGGCTTGCGAACAGTTGTTCCATCCGGAAAAGATGGCCTTCCATGTCCCCGTCGTCGTTGTACTCAGCTTTGCACATCGTCGTCTTCTGGTGATGCTTCTTCAACTCGTTCCAGGTCTCCATGGCGGTCTTGCAGTTCCGGATCAGCGGGTGCTGACTGTCGACTACGACCAAAACGATGGTGGCCCGTGCTTTGGTATCTCCTTCTTTCCACGCGTTTGTTAGAGGTTCAGGGCGGCCTCCATAAAGTGCTTCCAGAGATTTTCTCTTACCAACAGCATTTCCACCTTGAATTGCCAACATTCGTATCCGCCACTCTTCAGCTTTTCCAGACCAAACTTGCTTCCGTCCATACCGGGAACGTGAAAAAATCTTGATTATACGGTGGAAAAAACTTTCGCTTGAACAGCTTCTTGAATTTTCTTCACAAAGGCCCATAACCTATGGGAATATGCCGTAGGTCGGACCGAAGAATGAAATGAACTTGTTTCATCGATGGTCATGAACAGAATGAACATTTTATTGAAACCAATTAAACACGCTCTTAGCAACTAATTCATAGCTTGCTGGAGTCTTCAGTCGCTTCATCTTCAACAAAATTTGGTTCCATTTGCTTGATTAGTTCTCGTGTTAAGCCTGGTACGCAGCTGAAAAGTAATGACGTTTTAACGTGCTACGGGATAGGACAAGGTACGTAGCTCAAAAGAAATCGGCAAAGGACAGATCGATTACATTAGTATCGTGATCGACATTGTTATGATTAATTTATTTGATAAGGCCCAACCGAATTAACTCTAAAGAGCCGAGGATTCTTGTTCACTATACAATACATCTTGAAACTATAGTCAAAAGGTACAACACAATAAACATTTTATCTTCCGCCATCCAATAAGCCTCCTCTACCAGAACGGGAGTCGCTTCCAGTGGTTTACTTGTATGGCAGATTCGCCAACGAGGGTCAGAGCGCTTCCATTGTAGCAATGGACGCAAAACGTGGTCAGCACTCACACATTCATCACGAAACGGTTGCTTTGCAAAGTCGACTACGCATCGACTGAAAGAACTGCTGATGAAGAGCAATGAGGAGGACCACACAATGGTTGCTGCCGAGTAAACAGACGATCGCGTGACACACATTGAGAGTGGTCGGCTTCTGTCTGCCAAGTGAACACAGTCGCGATTGACATGAAGGTGGCGCATTCTGATCAATTATTCCGTTAGGTAATTTTAACGTTTGTTGTAAAATATTATGTTTTGGATGCATTTTATCAACATAAAAACTGATAATTGTTGATTTTTCAATTTGGCGACACCGCTCTATGATCTCAAAATTTAGCAACAGGCACCTCCCTAAAGCTGTCAAATTTACTTCTGGGAATATTCCTCAAAAATTACTTTTCCGTTTTCTTTTCAGCTGCGTACCAGGCTTTATGCAGAAATTTCTTTTTCATTTGTATGTGAGCCCCCCCCCCCCTTTACAGATGCGGAGGGGTTTCGTAAGAACCTTTCTCGGCCCCAAAAACCCTGCATACACATTTTCACACCGATCGGTTCAGTAGTTTCCGAGTCTATAAGGGTCAGACAGATAGACGGAAATTCATTTTTATATGTATAGATATTCAAAAATAGTGATGAAGGATGTTTTTGACATTTGTAAAGTATTTTAGTCAAAAAAATCTGTGAGAATTTTTCCTAGTTAGACATAATTTTTCCCAACAACTTTGTCCCAGTTGTTATTTCGATAAGAAGTGACATTTTCGTGCTACGAATAAATGAAAAATGTCAAATATGCCATTATGAAAATAATGTCAAGATTCAAAATGGCTGAATTTACGCACAAATGTGATGTTTGCCAAAACAAACAATTATGCAATGCTAAATTGAAGAAGATAGAGTTCAAAATTGATTTGTTTTGCTATTTTGCCTTGAACTGCTCTATGTTTTAATATTAAGATGATACTCTAAAGAAGCCTTTGCGTAAAACACCAAAAGCACAAATGTCAGTTTCCACAAAACATACAATTATGAAATGGCTACTCTTCGGTTGCTGCGCTACAACAATCAGAGACTAGTTCCACGCTATGGCTTCCTTAAAGTTTCAGCTTAAGTACCTTGTGAATAAATTGAAATTCAAGCTATTATTACAAATAAAATTATAAAATCAAAAATACCTATTTGTATTCAATCTCAGTTTTGATTATCCCAACAATCCGCTTGAAACACTTTTTCTTTTTCTTTTGCGAGATCTACTTAGTGACCTAGATGCACTTCCACAGTTATTAATTGAGAGCTGTCCTATGCATGAGTTTGTGTGTTGTGTGGCAAGTACAATGACAATTTATGCCAAGTCTAGA